CAAGGATTTTTCAAGGTCAGTACCATACTTCCCCCGTGTAACCCTAAACTTTTCATACGAAACATTTTTCTCTATCCCTACTAGTTTTCGAGATATTTGACTGGATCACTTCAGATGGTCCACCCTGTATAACAGAATCGGGGAATTGTGTGTTCAATATCTTACATCGCTGAATTTATGAAGTACTTGGATGGATTTTTTCTATAATTGAATACTTTTTGACATATATGAAGGAAAGTTGTTACCGAAGAATAATTGTTAAACTGAGAAGTAACGGATCATTGCATGAACAAATTTTGTTTGATTCCAATAACTATAATGACTGTAGAAAACACTAGCGTCTTACTAATTTCCCAGACAACATTTTGACGTCTTAAAGGCGGCTAAAAGACGTCCGAAAGTCCCAAAGTCATATTTCAAGACGTCTTAAAATTATCAGAAAGACGTCTTTAAGACGTCTTTAAGACGTCTTATGACCCATTTTATAACGTCTTTAGGGAGTCTTTTAGACGTCCTGTATTTAGACGTCTTAAATCATGACGTCTGTTAGACGTTTTTTAAGGACATTTTACTGTCTTTTAGACGTCTTAAAGACATTATTCTTACATATTATATGACATTTGCGACCTTTTTAGACGTCTCTAAGACGTCGTAACGTTTATTTGGGAAATAATTTTTAGACGTTTAATTTTAGGTTAAATTAGTCGTGTGCCAATATATCTATACATAGTCAGCATTGAAAATCTATAATTACACGTAACGTAAACTATAAATTTTATTGTAGTTAAAATTACGTATAATTATAGATTTTTAATGCTGGCAGTGTATAAATATATTGACACACGGCCATTGTTTATTTAAATTTTTTATATAGCGTACATATATTTACAGATGTATAATTATAAGTTTAATGAGTGTTAAATAAGTTTAATAAGAGTTAAATAAGTTAATATAAGTTAAATAAGTTAATAAGTTTAATAAGTTTATTAAGTTATAATTATAAGTTTTTCAGAACTTGATTAATTTAATTGTGTGTGTTTGTGTTTATTTGCAAGTTTTTTGGGAATATTTAACTCGATCTCCAGCATGCCGTAACCACTCTTGAATCACTTTTTGTACTTCGTGCAAACTACATTGCTCTGCATTAGACACATATTCTAAAATAATTATAAAATTGTTTATATATATATATATAATTACAGATTTTACACTTAACATAAAAAATTTAAAAAACATTAAAAATTATTAAATTAAATTACCTATAATAATATTGGCAAATACTGTATCCTTTATTCCCAGAGACTCATTTCGTCCTGTCCATGATAATTTTTGACACAATGTGTCTACCAAAACAAATTTTAATATGTTTCTTGTTTTCCCACTAAAAGAATTTCCTCCAATTCTCGCAATTTTACTATTCTGTAATTAAAAATTATATATATTATATATATAAATTTATATAAGCGATATTATTTTGCAATGTAATAACGTTTTCGAATGCAGTGGATTTGAACGTATATGATAGTTTTTTTAGTAGGTATTATACCACTATGATACACTACCCAACAAAATGAAAGGATCACTAATTGTTCCATCCTGTAAAAGTAGGCAAATTTTGAGATAGAATAACTTTGTCAAAAATCATCATATCGAGATTTAAAAAAAAGCATTTAAAGCTTGAAATCTCTACTTTTCAGACCTATACTTAAAAAAAACCGCACTATTGATATTTCATAAAGTTACACAAACATAAATGAAGATATATTAGACCTCAAAATTTTTTACGAAATTTGCAAAGTTCCACGGGGCCAAGTAAAAATTGTGCACAAATGCGGTTTACAGCTTTTGAAAGAATGTATCTTTACCTTTAATTTGCATTTTTATCGACCTCTGTACAATTTTTTTTCACCAAGTTATTCAACATTGAAGTAAAAATGACCTTTTGCTTCAACATTGATGATTGAATAACTTTTGGTGAAAAGAATTGTACAGAGGTCTTATCTAAAAAAGCAAATTAAAGGTAAAGATACATTCTTTCGAAAGCTGTAAACCGCATTTGTGTACAATTTTTACTTGGCTCCATGGAACTTTGCAAATTTCGTAAAAAATTTTGAGATCTGATGGATCTTCATTTATGATTGTGTAATTTTATGAAATATCAGTAAAACGGTTTTTTTTATGTACAAGTCTGAAAAGTAGAGATTTCAGGTTTTAAAATGCTTTATAAAAAATCTCAATACGATGATTTTTGACGAAGTTATTCTATCTCGAAATTTGCCTATTTTTTGCAGGGTGAAACAAGTGATCCTTTAATTTTGTTGAGTAGTGTATAATAGCCTTAGTTTTGAGAAGTAAATACTCACAAATTGTTTCCGGATTTTTTCTGTTTGTAAATCTTTCTCCATATCTAAAAATGATTTTCTTGTTGCTAATGGAAATTCTGGTAATAAATTTGCTTCATTTGTTACGACTATTTGGTTTGTTTCCGGATTTGCAATGAAGTTGATAAGCAGATTCAATTTTCTAAATATTTTATCTTGTACTCTGTCTCTCTCTCTACGGCATGCATCTATAATAATGAAAAGAGACCAATATTAAGTTTTTACTTATTATTAAAAAATATAATTAGCTTAAATAAAAAAATAAAGAGACAACGCTTACTACAACATGTGTGAATTTCATCATTTTTAATATTATGTGAATCATCTAGATCATCATTTTGTATATCATGCGGATCATCTAGATCACTATTCGATATCGTACTATTATCTGTAATTATAAAACAAGATAATTTTTATATTTACAAAAATATTACAAACATTAATGTTTATACTTATAAAAATACAAATATGTTTATACCTGCAGTAGATTGCGATTCATTGGCAATTGTAACATTGTCTTCCACGAACAGAATTTGTTCATCACGCGCACGTGCAACATCTAAAATGTAATATTTATTTTTATTATCTATTTAAATACATTTTTCGGTTTCAATTTGTAAAAATAAAACTTGCCAAAAGAAGTTAAATAGTTTCGTTTAAAATAATTCATCTGTGTACACGGAGAAAATTTTATATTTAAAATTACTATAATGTGGTAGTAGCTGCGGTCTTCATGTAAATTATAAGTTTAAATGCTATAGT